TAGACTCGTTGGGATGATGCTAATAACGTTCCTCGGGCGAGTCCATTCGATCCCCCTCGCAAGACTGTACGTGTGAAGACGTACCTACTCATCTCAGCCTCGTGCTGGGCACGTGATTCAGTTGACGTTAAGTTAGAATGCCATTACAGCACCTAAGAATGTGTTGAGCTCAACCTTTGGATGCGCACCGCTTGGCTGATTACGGTGTGCTCCGCTCGTTTTGTTTCGTGCCGTCCCACAGTTTCTGCTTTTCTTGTCCCGCAAGCTCCAATCTTTTGTGTGCTCTCGCTCTTCTGCGGTCGGTCGAACGAGAGGAACATCCGAGTCGTGAGCGAACGATGGAAGCGGTGACGCCTCAGCCCGTTTGCGCCAAGGAAGCGCTCGCTCTTCTCAACTGCACCGTCGAAACTCCCTTCGACCGTGACAAGTGCCTCCGTTTGTTGGACGCCCTAAGGAGCTGCGTCCTCGAAAAGGTATTGTTAGCTACTCACCGCATATTAGTCATTTCCGTTCCTGTGTGCTTCTCCGTCGCATTGGGTGCGGGCACATGACGAACATGTGTTGCAAAATCCATGCTGATCATTCGTCGAACAGTTGGTGGGCGGCTTTTGCATGGTTTTCTTCTTATTCTAGGTAGGAGGAGTCCAGATTTTAAATGCACGTGAAATGTAGCATCCTTGGACTCTTGAGCGATTAATCCGGCATCTATTCACAAATTTAGGCAAGTGATTGACGCAAGTATGTTCTCTCAAATAAAACAGATCATTTGGATATGGTGAACTACGACACTCCTTTTGTATATGTCATTGACTATGTCGCGAGCTACTCCTGGAGAGGATTAATTATCGATGTTTAGGAGCATGAGTAGCGTAGTTTCTTAAAAGAAGAGCAAAGAGAAATTTAATAGCAGACGCAATCTTATGTAACAGAATTCCTTTTGTCGTATAATATGCATCACAAATCAGCTTAGCATTATGTTATACAAGGTGGGAGGGATTTGATCTCAAATGGCAGAAAAATTTTGGAACTTCTTCTTTTAGATTAAAAAACCCATTTATCTATCTTTTGGCATTGAAGATATTGGATATGCATTGTGGCTAAGAGTTTGGTACTGAACTCTGAAAGGATATAACCATCCCTTTTAGGGTAGTTTCTGGTTTGAGGATGAAAATAAGACTTCCCAAGGATGAAAAGAATGAAGAACTAATTACTAAGTAATGAGAGTTCTATTGCAATAATGAAATAACTCGTACCGAGACATAACCTAAAGGCTTACAGTATAAAATTTATACAATAAATTAAAAAAATTTAGGGGAGATGTGTTTACTCTTTTTAGAATGCTTTGAATCCCACAAAATCCTTTCGGAAGACATGTTTAGGACTTATTAAACAGGTTTAAGGATCTCTCAACCCTATCAATATGCAGAATGGGGACTCAGAGATAAGAATTTAAGTATGATTCTGAGCTTGATTTGAAATAGCTATTAAAATTGATGATAATAATAGTAATAGTAATGATTATGATGATGATACATTTGAGAAAATAAGTAAAATTACAAATAAATCTATATGTCATCCTAAACATGATGCAAGCTAGACCTAATATGATTAAATGTATTATTTGGAAGTTGGATGACTTCAAATGCTGATTCTTAACAATTCTTCCTTCTCATATCTACCTTGTCCCTGATGCAGAGTGCTCAGAACATGTTGCAAGATCACATCTTTCATATTCATCATTGTTTTTGGAATTTTATGTAGAGGAATGCTGTCGATGTCATTATAGAAAGTAAGTTGTCATGTTGAATTAGTGTTTTGAAGTCATGCTTGAGGCACACCAATGCTCTAAATTGAAGTCTTGCCTTGTTTGAGGCTCAAGCATTTCGATAAGGGACATGGCTTGTGCGACATGATTTAAAATTATGGTGCACGAGGGTAGGTGTCAGAAAAATTCTTGGTGAAAGAGTGACGGTTGAGTGTCTATTTTCTTTCCTTTACAAACCTTATGGTCTCTCTGGAAAAGGTCTCCTTTATGTTTTCTACATGCCATCAAAATGATTGCATGTTTGATTCTTTATTTTGGAAGAAACAGAGCAAGATAATACACTTGTTTGGTATGTTTTATGTTTTTCCTTGCATGCAGTGTGACTTGCATGTTGTAGACAGCGACAAAGGTACATTATCGTAAAAAGCAATCAGAAATGTAAAACTAGAACGCAATTTTTTTTTCATTTAAATCAATTTCAAATGCTTACACTGATAGTTTGTTATATGCATTTTTACCAAAAGAAACATATCCCACTAGTTTATAAAGTTCAACAATGAAAGATCATTGTGATTAATTACCTAAATTAGGTTTTTGCTGGATGAGAGTATTGCATATTTTTAGAAAGTTCTACAAATTAACATATTGATGGTTGTAATTGGAGATACATTTGTTATGAATAGAAGGTCATATTAGTTAGACAGTTTGAGCTCATTTGTGTGAAATGGATTATTTGGCCCCACGGGGTCAATCAGGTATCACAATTGAGTTCCTTAATGTATTTAGTGGTTCAGATTGGTCTTGTTTGGGTTTAGATTTTGTAGCATATATGTAATTTCAGAGATTTATCTGTGTCATTTGAGATCAATGTAACCATATTGGACAGTTGGACAATGCTCTGTTTGTCGACACCTCATGAGTTAGTCTGGGTATCATTTTATCTGCTGGATTTGAAACAGATTAAGAACTTATACTTGTTAACTTTTTTAGAGGAGTGCTTGCTATCTTGGGAATTGGTGTCAGTAATGGATGCAGAGATTTGCAGTTACAACACAGTGCAATATGTGTGGAAAAGAGTGTTTTTTTCATCATGGTCTTCTCTTTTTTTCTTCTGTGTTACTTTTGCTTCTTAAAATGCTACTAAAACCAAGGATTTTAATTTCGAATGATACTACCCGTTCCGGGCAGTATCAACGTGGTTGCGGCGAGGGAAGACAAAGTGTTGAGGGAGAAGAAGGAGAAGACGCTCAAAGAAGAGGGAGAATCGGGAGAACCTAGATGCTTTCTGATCCGGCGTCGCCCTCCCTTGATGATCTTGATCCAGGAGGTAATGGAGAGACGACGACTCGACTTCTCCTTCGCCACATCCTTCACTGAAGGCCGGAGACGCCAATGTTAGAATATGTGGCCCTTTTATAATTGAATAAGATATATAATAGAATAACTAATTGGGTTCCGTTGCGATATTTTAGCCAATATAGACTAAGTCCACTACGGAACGATTCCTCGGAGATATCCTTGATGGGAGGAAATCTTCTGAGATCTCATCTCATCGTAGACCCTCTGCTCTCGCCTATAAAAGGACAGGATCTCTAGGGGTTGAGGGGGTGTTAGTGTGTTAGAGCGTCATAACGTTGACACGTATAGACGCACCTCTCCGTTGAGGGATTCAGTTATTCTCCTCGACTCTCTCCCCAAAAACCCTCTCCCCAAATCCATCAATCTGTGTGTGATCCTGTGAAAGGATAGGAAGAGAGGAGAAAAGGTCTACTCTTCGCACTCCCTGCAGATTCCGTAGCGCGATCGGATTAAAGACGGAGCCTGCAGCAATCTTGGATCACGGTGCTGAGCAGATCAAACAAGATCTCTGAACGGATGGCATCAAAAGGTACGCATCGTATAATTAGATCTATGCATTGATTTCAATCCTGGCATATAGGTTAATTCCGCATTATTGACATAGCATAATTACAGAGTTTTATGCTTACAACGACGACTCGACTTCTCCTTCGCCACATCCTTCACTGAAGGACGGAGACGCCTGCGGCCTTCGTCGCGTTCTTCACCGAAGACCGAAGACGTCTGCATCCTTCGACATCTTCGCTGAACGTTGCAAATGAGGAGAAGACTGCGTTCTTCTCCTCGTTGCGTCGCGTCGAAGGCTGGAGATGTCTGCGGCCTTCGACGTCTTCATCGAACACCGCAGATGAGAATACCGCGTTCTTCTCCTCGTCTAACGCGACGAGAAGAAATGGAGGCGATGTCGCCGAGGCACCCTACGCCTCCTTTTTTCAATATTATATATATATATATATATATATATATATATATATATATATATATATATATATATATATATATATATATATATATATATATATACCGAGCAGTATACCCTGGTGTACAAAGCGGTACGCACGTACTCTTCCATTTCGAGCAAAGCTCGAAATGTCGATACGGTACGAAATTAAAAATCTTGACTCAAACTTCAAGATTCTTCTGTATTTGTCTGTGATCAAACAAAATCGCTGCGTTTGTGTTAATGCTTTGTTTCTATTCTTAATTGGACATGAACTTTAAGCTTCCTGCTATCCATTTGCAAGAACACCATGCTATGCAGTCATGACACATATTCTGCTGGGTGTTGTTCTGTCTTTTGAGGATGGGTGCTGTGTAGATCTGTAAGTCATGTATTTGTAAATAACCTATTTACTTCCTAGTATAATAGAGAGTTATTTCCAATTATTTGTAGTCTAGTTAAACCAAGCTAAACTAGTTGTCACATTAAATATGAGATGTTGTGGTTAATATATTGTTTGAATATGCTTGTAAAGTTAATGAACGTTAATTACGGCAGTTAGATCTTTCAGTTAGCTATTACTCTATGACAAACTTTTTAGAGAATATTTGCTAAATAGTCAAATTTATTAACTCATGTGGTGTGTCTTTTAGATAGTTTTTCTTCATATTTAGGGGGAGGAACTAGTACCTATTATACCATTTGGATTTTGCCAATGCTACAGTCTTTTCCTTTCAAACCTCTATCAATTTAATTAACTGTATCAAGTTAGCTAGGCTTTCCTCAAAATCGTGTCCCACATGCCATTGAGTTTTGAATTGTTTTTTAAAATCTTCATCCTTGCTGTGACTAATAAAATGAATCAATTTTTTTTGCAAACGGAATTAAACTAAATATAGTTTTCTTTTCACAATACTGTTGGCAACTAAAAGTTATTTTTTGAATGTTACTTGAAAGTGTTGTGGATATGTAAGATTAGGGAAGATTAACATAGGTAAGTTGCAATTCAGCATTTGGAAAGCATAAATGCCGTTTGTCAGTGGGCAGTTGGCATCACTGTGGCATTACAAGTACTTTTTCTTGCCTTAGCATGGATCAATTGATAAATGAAGCATGTATTTGGATCATGAAATTATCATTCTTTGGCAATTGCATGTTTTTGATAAATCCAAGTGGAAGATTTTGAGTCTGTTTCCGGATGGCTTTAAGTAGCAGCATACACAATGGAGGCTTCCTAACTCTTAACTTATGACAAACCGCGCACCTTTTTAGTAAATGTGTAAATGATAGAATGATCGAAATGAATTTGCTAGATCAATGATGTTCCATGCCAAAACATCCGTAGCAATGTGGCTCGATGATCATATGATCTCTACTCATTTTCTTTGTATTATCATATTTTTACCTAATTACGTCATTCAATTCGAATGATCCTTGGCTGATGCGGTCTTACAGCATTACACTGATTTCCTTATTTTTCTCTTTGTTAGAAAGTGAAGAAGTTCTCAGTCGCGGAACAGAGCCATGCAGCTGTAGTTCCAAAGAGCAAGGAGAAACCATGAATGCCTTAAACACGGTCATAAATGAAAATTGTTGTCCCTATATTTGGACACTAGTTCTGTTGTTAACTATTGAGTTTTGATGGATGGGTTAGGTTGGAGAGAATGAAGCCATCAGAAGGCAAAACAGAGGGGTTCTTTTTTTTTTGTTGCATTGTTATAATGACTTGTGACTTCTGATTTCTGACCTATTTTAATTTCATCCATTTAGATTTGAATCAAGGACTAACATCTCTCGGTCACTCAAAACTGAAGCTGCAGTTGGCTATAGATACCTGTGGACGTGTCATGTAATGCAGGAGCTAACGTCACTCGATCTTTCTTGCTGCTTTTCCTCTCCATTTGTCATTTGATTGTATGTTATCCATCAAGTTTAAGGTAAAGATCTTGACGGTAATCTTCAAATATTGAACTCCTCCCTATGTCATCACATCATCATTCCTCAAATAGATTGAATGCTATGTGCTTTCTTTGATCATTTGATTCCTGATAGCATAACTTAAATTTAGAGGGTAAATACGAATATTATTTATTTAGGAAAGGTAACTGAGTTTAATCATAATGTCATATCTATAATTTTTTAGGTTTTGCATTAGCATATACATATATGTTTATATATATATATATATATATATATATATATATATATATATATATATATATATATAAAGATGGCATATATATACATATACATATATGTTATATATATTATATAAAGAGGCATGCCGGGGAATCTCCTCACTTTGACGGATGTGTAGTCTTACCGATTTCGAAAGCGAGCAAGAAGTCGAGGAAGGGAGCGACGAGGGAGAAGGTAGAGCGATTTCGAGGAGACAGAGGCCTCGGCGATCCAAGTGCTTCTGCTGAGCAGGTAGACCATATTACTCCTCTCTGGTTTCTCGCTCCTCACGTCTCTCTCGTTTGCTGCTCCTCACTCCTTTCACGTTTCTGGATTATATCGATTCTAGGGTTTCATCGCCCACTTGTCATTCGTTGATCTTTGCGTTGGATTCTGAAGTTTTCTTCCGCCTCGTGGATAGTTCTAGTGTTTTTCTTCTTTTTGGTTCCATTTCGTTGCTTTTTCGACGGATTTTTGGTGCTACATGTTCGTGCGTCTTTTCGTGCTTTTCCACTAAATCATTGAGGTTCTTTCTATTTCGGGTTTCGTTGTCTGCGTGTTCCTTTCTTTAATGTTTATCCATCAGATTCCTAGGGATTTTCCTTTACGAGGATATGTTCTAGGGTTTGTCCGGAATTTTCCATAGAATCCTTGGGGTTTTTCCTATTCTAGGGTCTCGTTGACTTTTCTTTTTTCGTTACTGTTCAGTTAGCTTCATAAGGATTTTTGACGGATATGTTGTAGGTTCTTGTCATGTTTTTCTTTCAGATTTTTATGATTCCAATGATTTTTCTTCGTTGTCTTCTTTACTGGATCCTTAAACTTCTTCCTCCCGAATGTGTCTTTAGGGTTTCGTTGGAAACTTTTACATTCTCTCTATGGCTATTTTGTTATTGATTTATCAGTTTTCTCATTGATTGATTGCTGCGGAAAACCATCCATGGGTGATTCTGGTCTGGTCTCTGATTCCGGGAGGTTGGATGGCCGAAAGGGAAACTGCTTTGGGGTCTAGCTACATGCTTGTACAGACGAGTTTCATATCCTGAATCCAATTGGAGAAGGTTGTCACGAGTTTGTCTTTAGAGCCAAAGATAAGACAAGTGGAGAAATTGTGACTATGAAGACAAGAAGATTATTAATCGAGTTGCTTGGGGAAACAACAACCATTGGAAGAGGGAGATCAACTATCTGATGTCACCCATCTATCATAGAGTTTTATGGATGTTGCAATGAATTTTTTTGGTTGTAGAATAGGTGGAAAATGACCTCATAAGTTTTATGGAGAAGGGGGCAATCATTTTTCGAGAGTGAAATCAAAGTTTTGATGATTCAGCTCTTGCAAGATGTGAGTGATATTCAGATATTTAGATATATAAACATCAAACATCCTACTGAATGCTCATGATATATGATGATTTTGAAATGTCACATGTTTCAATTTTTGTCCTGTACATCATTAGTGGATATTTATAAAACATCAAACGTGTTAGTGGAAGCAAAGAATTATTTATCCACTATTAATGTGTTCTGTCATATGCGTTATGATAGAATCTTTATCTATCAAAATACTATTTGCAAAGCTCATAATTAGATCAATTTTTTGTGATCCTTGATATTCTTTAGTATGCCAAATTAGATAGTTTGATTTTCAATGTATCCCATGTAGCATGCCAAGGATTTCAAAGATATTAAAAGTTTGATCTAATTATGAGTTTTTTTTGCAAATAATATTTAAACAAATAGGGGCTTTGCCATGATATATCCAATGGATCACATACCGATGTTGGACAAATGATCTTTTTTTCTTTTTGCTCTCAAAAGAATCTCCAGAGCTTTATAACATTTGGTGCCCACCTATGACATGCAGGGTGAGAATTAAAATTTGCGACACATGCTAAATTTGCATATTTTGTTCTTCTCATAATAGTTCAACGAGTTAATTACATATTACCACCTGTAGTTAGCTACTTTTAGCATCCTAGTCCCTACACTTTAAAAAGTTACGCTGGCATCCCTATAGTTACGAAAGTGAAACCTCTAGGTCCATTCACCTTAACACCGCCAGTTTTACCAATAAAAATATGAAAACAAAGGGCAAAAAGATAATTTTAACATTCCAGTTGATGGTGGTGGACGACGTCGGTAATGGCGAACGACGTCGTCGCTCGGAGACGTGAGTGGGTGTTGTGGATAAGGAGAGCGTCGACAAGAGATGCGGGCTGCTTGGCATATGCGTCGACATCGATGCAAATGCAGAGCGGCCCTCACCTCGTCGCTCTTATCCACAACAGTAATCCGCGACCCCTAGCGATGCTGTCGTCTGCCACTATCGATGTCGTTAGCCACCCCCAACTAGAACGCTAAAATTATCTTTTTGCCATTTATTTTTGTGTTTTCATTGGTAAAACCGATGATGCTAGGATAAATGGACGTAGATGTTTCATTTACGTAACTATAAGGATGTCAATATAACTTTTTAAGATACAGGAATCGGAATGCTAAAGGTAGCTAACCAGAGGGGGTAATCTATAATTAGTCCTAATTCAACTAATGCTTGATGTTATTATATCTCTATGAAATATTTGGAGGTTATGTAGATGATTTAAATTTGCAAGAGCTGAAATATAAAAACCTTGATCTCACTTTTGGAAAATGATTACCATTGTTTTCTGTAGAACTTCATTTTCTAGGTATTCGATAATAAAAAAAACGAAGAATAAGCATTAGACAAAACTGTTTTTCTATTAATTGTATATTTGAATGAGACTTGACGTTGAAAATGCAGAAGAAGAAAAGGGGGTCTAATCTTGTGTGTGTATGATACTAGTTCTAGGTCATGTATAACAACTTAGACAAGTATGATGTCCATGACAACTCCAGTCTTGACACCTTTCCTGCAAGAGTTCTCTTAAGACCATACCGTCATCCGTTTTGTTCTTTATCAGTGAACAGAAGGGAATAAGATGGCAAATCAACCGTTGGATGTATGATCTTGAAAGGATGAATGCAACCATGGGCTCAGACTAGGCCTTTGACAGGTGCCTTTGTACATGTCATATTTTTTATTGAGTCATCAAGCATTTGTGCTTGGAATCACACTTGTAGTCCTGTTATTGCTCAATACATCACTTTAGTTAACCTTGTCTTAAAAATTTCAGTGTTCTATGGAAAATGTTCAATTGATGTAGCTTACATGAGGTGCGTGCTTTTGTGCATGTGAGAGTGCCTGTCTTGTTATTTAGCCTATTCTCAACATCCAGGTCTTTTATACTTTTGTTTCTTACGAAAGCATGTGTGGCTTGAAGTAATTAATTTTAAGAAGCCAAGAAATTGTGTGGATGGTAGATTTCTACATTAACTGGAATTAGAACCAAAATTCCATCTGTAGTCACATTCCTAGTTTGCTTTAAGTGCTGCATTTAACTCCAATGATTGTGCATAATTATGCATTGTTAAAATGATGATATCTTATGGATTTTGACTTTTATCTCTGTGTGGGCCTTGTCTTTGAGCTGAAACCTGAGATCAGAGAGCGATATTTCCTATGTTCTTATTAACATGTCTATGTTTAGCTTCACTCTTTTGAAATTTATATTCCTTTTCCAGATTACCAGAACACACTTCTTTGAGGGTTATTATTAGGTTCACCATGGTAAATTCATTCATATTCTGGTCATTTTATTTTTGTGTTCGACTCATATTGTCTTGTCTATCTGGTAAAAATTAGTGAACTGATTTTCCAGGTTTTGGAGCTTAATCAGAGGTTCGAATAGGATAAAGAACAATAAATGTTTTTCTGGATCTCGATTGTGCACTTGAAAGGTAATAATTATCTGTGGGTGGTAAGTTCTGATGGTTATCTTTTATGTTCTTTTCTTCATGTGAATTACAATTTTTTTCTTTATAGATTTATGATTATACTTGTAATTTTGTGCACTGGCTTTCTGCCCTTCATTAATGAGATTGAGATGCTATTATAATTTAAAATAACTGATAATACAAGTCACGGATAAACTATATTTTTGGTAAGATCTATGCTTTCTCATGTAGGATGTATTGTTCTTCTTGAGTCTACTTTAAATGCTATAGTATATTCTTGCATTCTCCCAGTGTTTCTTGGATGTTGAATCTCATTTTTAACAAAAAAAATAAACCGTCTTAAAATTTTCTTGACAAAAAGACTCCAGCTTAAAAAAATACATCATATAGTCTGGGACACTGACATTGTGGAAAAAATGGAGGTGTTTGGGAATTCATAATCTTGGTATAGCAAAGTGTACTCTGTAATAGAGTAATATTTGGGCCAAAGTTACTGTGGTGTGGTATGTGTCATATTTCTTCCTGAGACATTAACTACTCCTCTTTTAAAATTAGTGCTTGAGATTTTTCATTCATTCTGTGGAGAAGCTGCGAATTGGTTAAATTCATTGGGAATGGGATAATACTACTCATGGTTAGCGGGTTATTTAAGATATTGATTGCTTAGAAACCTACTTTGCTCTCAAATTAACTCTGAATAATTTGCTTCATAAAAGAAAACAAGATATAAAGAAAATTATGAGAATGCTTGGTCATAATACTGTCCATATAGTTATCTTGTTTGATGGATCTCATATTCAGTGTGATGATAAATCTATTTACAGATTCTTGAGTATTGAGTGGTAGTAGGTGTAGCAAAAAGTAGCTTGATCATTGGTAATGCGTTATGGAAGTTTCCTGTGAGTCTTAAAGTAATGTTTTTCTGTTAGTAGCTTAGAGACTTGCTAGTACTAATATAATTAATATGCATTCTTGGCTTTTATATGATTGAATTATCAGAACTTCTTTCCATGTCTGTTTTACAATATAGTTTGGAAGTTTTGTGAGTTATATATGTGAATGGTATAATCTTGAGACCTCGAGTAGCTTTCTGCAGCTTCTGTGGAAAACCAAGAATGAGGCCACTGAGGCCTTTTAAATCTTTCTTCTTCTTTCGACTTTCTTCTTCCCTGCTTCCCCAAAAACGAAGCCCAAGCCCAAAATAGAGATTTTAGAGTCCTTATATGAAATATTAATATAAAAAATGTTTTAACGAAAAATAAAAACAAGTAGGAAACCTATTAATTACTAGTAAAAAAAAAGGCCATCCAGATTCTTGGATCATCTTTTCCCCTTTCACTGACCCTCTTTTCTCTTTTATTCTTTCTTTCCTTCAACTTTCTTATTTGTCTTGGCCAAATCTGTGGTTTTACAGCTCACCCGACAATCAATCGATTGTACCATGAGTGGTGGGTCAGCAAAAGTTGGTCCAGTGTCATGATTCGACTGCAATCACGCAAGAAAAATGCATGTTATCTATCATTCACATGCCGCTGGTGGTTCTGGTCAGGACACTTTTGTTCTTACATCTTATTGATTATTATACAATTGGACATCACTACCATGTGCGTATATTATATTAGCAATTAGAGTTGAAAAGCATGCATTACCATCAAACGAGTGTCCGGGCGATGATCACTCGATTAGGGTGTAATCGTCTCCACACATATTTATGTGAACCACATCGAGTACGCCGCCAACCACTGATTCTGGATTGCTGTAAAGTAGAACCCTCCAAAAAAACGCTTGGTTATCTTACGTTGTGCTGAGGTTCTCATGACCCCGCACGACACCTATGCTGGCCCATTCGGGAAGACAATACTATCTTGGTCTACCCTTCTCCGTCATTAATCTGATCCCTTTGCTGCCACATGGCCCAAATAATTCCCAAATAACTCGGCTGCTCCTGCAATTGACCCCTTGGAGCCACCAATTTAGACTACCTGATGAATGGAGCTTCCATCGCTGTCTACCCTCGTCGTAGAGGAAAGATGCACATCAATGCTCTAGAAGACTACCAAGTCCATGCGAGAAACAGTAGAATAGAATATAGATTGCAACCCATAGACGATGATCTAAAGGGATAATAAAATTAAAGCAAACAAGGAAACAAAGGTTGATGGTCTGTCTCCTACAACGACGAATTACAACAGTAGGTGGTGGTGAGTAGAGTTCAATTCGTGGTCTTCCACTTGCTGGCTACCTCGGCCAGGGCCTTGTAAGCGGCGCCGCCCTCCTCCAGGCCGCTGGTTGCCGCCTTCCTGAGCTCTGCCACCCGCTGCCGCGCTGCCTTCCCCTCCTCCCCCTCCATCAGCTCCCTCACCGCTCGCGCCACCTCCTCCCGCGGTACGAGCCCTCCCTCCGCCGCGCCTCGCGGCCGCAACGCGATCCTCGCGCCCTCGGCGAGCATCACCGCGTTCTGCCGTTGCTCGGCGAAGAGCGGCCACGCCACCATCGCCACCCCGGCCACAACGCTCTCCAGAGTCGAGTTCCATCCGCAGTGGCTCAGGAAGCCGCCGGTGGCCGCGTGGTTCAGCACC